ACAGAAAGTAGGTGTTTTCTTAACTACAAAGAAAAAGAGAGGCGATATAGCGATACTTACGTCGTAGGGATCGTTCTAATGTTATCGCTTCTTGATTTCGTACCCGGAATGTTAATCTTCTTGGAAACCCTTGTAGAGAGCTTAAGGGTAAGTTTTTTGGGGGTTCTCTAGTCGTGCTCTATGAAAAAAATGAAGATAAAGAGGATTTAAAACCTATATATATCAACTTTTAAAAAGTCAAAGAGGTGCTAGCTTGGCACTCGCATTGACCCTTCTTCCGATGCTTATATCTTTTTATCCTGATGTCGTATGAATGAATGGTTAAGATCATTAGTTTAGATCGTTAGAAACTACATTCCATGACCTTCAATTTGGTATATAATATTTCCCAAAAAGACCTCATATAACACACGAAATGTATTGCTCAAAAAGCTTTAGTGACACACCTACTTGTCACCTATGCAGTCTGCGCAGTCTCGTGAAACTGCAAATATCTCTCTATTCCTATATCATATCGATGAACGGTTTAATGAGTTAGAAACTAGACTTGTAGATCTTCAATTTGGTAGGTAGATCATCCCCTAATTCAAATTGTATTGGGAAAAAAGATCAGCTACATTTGACCTAAATTTCAGCATATTTATGAACGTAACTTGTGATGATCTTTGCCAACTTTTGTAACACAATTCACTTGACTTCAAAAACATAACACATGACTATCATTAGACAAAAATAACTCATAACATAACCTCCTTATCATTTTGAGAACCCTAGTCGCACCCCAAAACTATATGTTATAACATTCCCAACCTCTCGACTTTCGACGAAACTTATTTTCTTCAATTGGTTTAGATTCTAAGCCTTCCAACGCTCTTGGTACTTGCAGTCCATGATCTTAAATATTTGTAACCTCCAAGTTAACATGATTAACTTACTTTATGTACTTTAAAAGGTGATCTCATTTCAGAGCTTACATCAATTGACTTACGACGTACTCTCACATACGAAACTATAGGGTGTAACACTTTCCATCTCACTCTTTTCATTAGAGGTACTCATATCGGTGAGAGGTGGTAGAGAATCAACACTTAACGCAAGATCGAGATTTCCGAGATATATTGAGATTCTCTTGCCAAGACTTGAAGTTTGTGTCATTTAACATAGGAATGGAATTGATGTTGGCAGAAATATTTGCAGGAGTACTTTCAGCTGAATCAAAGAACAATAAATAAAAAATAAGCTCACATATACTTGAACCGAAATAAAAATTTCATTTGAATAAAGGTAAACTCCATCTCAAGGTACAGGACACTCCATTAATATTTCATTCTTGGACAATATATTAACTTTTAAGTGGTATCTTGATGTAAAACACTGATAATAAAGAATATGTCGAATATTAAATCTTTCTTTAGGCCGATTTCTTATTCACACATAAAAATAAATAATTATCACATGTTTATTACCACGAGATGCACATGTAAACATTGATGTTTCTTTG